GAGAGCATATTATTTTGTGTGGGGGGTGGGGCACAGGGGGGCTTGCGATTACATGCAGTTTGGAATCATTCTCATAATCAATCATAATGATTGATTCCTAATCACATGTAATCATATCATATATGATTACATGCGGTGTGCAGGCATTTCCATCCAGTGGCTGTTACCAGATCATTAACTTGAATGGGTGTCAGCTGCTGCATGTAAAACGCCACATTAGGGATTCCTTCTGCAGGAAAACGCAAGTTCCTGATGCAGGAATCCCTAATAGCCCCCAAACATACTGGTGTGAAACGGGCCTTATTGTGTGTAAATTAGTGTTTGTAATTCATGTTGTGGGGGGTTGTGCATATTTCCATTTGTGTGTATTTCTATGTGTGCGTATCTCTGTGTGTGTGAAGTTTAAAATTTGGAAAGTGGTCCCATAGGAGAAAAAAATGTGTCCAGTGGCCCCCAAATTAATTGAGTTTGAGACCCCTGCTTTATAGGCTCACTTAGGTTATTAAAGATGCAAGCTTTTGGGATGACTTAGGTCCCTTTATTATTCTTTATACAAAAGAAAGCCTGAAGAAGGTGCCTAAGTCCTCTCAAAAAGCTTGCATCCTTAACAACCTAAGTTAGCTAATATATACTGTATACTTTTTAAAGCATTGTTGATGTTACTCTCAGCCTTACATATCATCAGGTGCATTATGCTTTATGGTTAGTGGAACTGATGAGAAGCTGCTATGACGTTCTGGCCCAGGAGCTATTTTAGCTTAGGTTGTTGTTAGCAGCTGTGTAAACATATCTAATATTATTTTCTGGTAAGCTTGTGAGGTTCATAATCCACATATATCTATTACAAAAGTTGTAAATAAACCTAGAAATAATGGAAAAATATTAAATCATGAGAAGGCCATACAGGAAGGATCATATTTGCAGTAATAAATGCATCTTTTAGCACATATGCCTGTGTAACCTTTATACACAATATAAAACTATCCACAGCCTCTCCATACAATACACGGGCTTTAATTTTAGCCCTTAATATTCCACTACAATTTAATTCTGGGTTATTTTCTAGATGACCAACAACAGCAGCAGACAAAGATCAATGATATGCTTCTGGGATGAGTAATTTCCTGAGGAAGGTCTATTCATTGAAGTATTGATATAGGCATATTAGTTCTAGAAATACAATATGTAAATACTAAGTGACAATGATATACCGTAGCAATTTTTAGAATGACAGGATGTGGCTATGCTCATTGTGACAAGATAAACATGTATTCATTCATAAGTACTATATGGACATTTTCTTTATTTAATGGTAGTATGTGACTAGGTACTGTATATTCTATAACAATTTACATTGTTGGCAAAATGGAGTTATAATATCCCAATGTATTAAAATATTTCTTTATTAAAGCATACATAGTTACATATCTTAAAATAAAATTTTTAGGTTGGAAAAATAAAAGGTTTAACATGGATGTAGTCACTATTGACCTCTCCTTCTGAATATGCTACTTACTGGGTTGATCACCTTCTTGTACATATGGGCTACTAACCTGAATACCTGTTGTGAATTTGTGAACTAGAGGATCAACATAACTTCAAGACAGCAAGTATTTCAGAAAGTCAGCAATGGCAGCTCCGGTAGTCCTCTTATGACAGGTTTAGTATAGAACAGAAGGTATTTACACATCACAGCTGCATCAATTCACTAACGTAAATATAGATAGAGTAATTTCTTACACGCCATTCTGGTCATTTATGCATCCGTTACTGCTGCATTAGAAGCCAGATAAAGTCTAAAATGTGGAACAGGGCAAGGCCAAGTTTCAGGTGGATGAGGTGTATTATAGATAGAGTAAGGGAGGGTTATTACCCCTGCCAACTTTTATTGCCATCTATTTCCTATTGTCGAGATTTCACTTCTCTTACTGTCTCATAGCCACAGCAGAAAGTAAGAAAAAATTCCTCAAAAGTGAGGGAAATCCACAGCGGTCAGCAGGGTCACCAGAACTAGTGTCTACATTTGGAAGGTTCCCACCTATTCCTGTTCTGGTGACAATCCAAAAGTTTAGTATTTTCTATTTGTCACCAGGACAAACAGAGAGGGTGATTCTCTATAATGGGGACACAGGCAGCAATAACAACCTAGCAGGTATCCTAATCCCTCCCCACTCTATCCAAAACTAAAAAAAAGAAAATGTTGGCTTCAGTTGCACTTTAGAGACCAATGGACATCATAACACTTTATCGAAATGTTTGCTTATTTCTAAATCTTTTAAAAGATCAAACTAAATGTCAAGATGTCATTTGAGCAGCTTCTAACATACAAGCACTTCCTAAATATTCCAGGCTATACTACTGGAGGATCATGTACTTGATCATACATCCATCCAGTCCAGTTCTTAGATGTTGCTGTGAATTTCCAGGCTTTAGTTTTTGTATTTGCTACATAATGACTCACTGTTGCTGCTGAACAAGGTTAAAAGCTTTACAGAAAAAAAAGACTTGGCATTTGATGCGTGATCACAGTTCTGGAACCGCTGCCTAATAAGACAAAGTTTGCCAAAGTATACTTCATCACTATTTTTGAGCAATTCCCTTCCCAACAATTCCTAAGCAGCCCATCAGTGTACTGGAAACAAAAAGCCCCCCCAAGGTTAGAACCTGAACACAATCCTTGTGTAATATACAATATGTGATCCATATCTGGCTGGAATGCAGCATTTCTGCAAGCTTTGTCTATCTGTGGAAATTATTCAGTAGACATGTTTAAATAATTGGGGGCAAAAAGTGATGATGCAATGGAAGTTCTGGGAAACATCCCGACTGGCACCATTCTATAGTGCTCACATTAAGATAATAACACAAATATTCAAATTTGGTAAAACAGGCTTTTCTTTCTGTTCCACCTATATCAACCTTTACTACAGGGGTGGGCAAAATAATTTTCTCAAGGGGCCACATGAAAAACTGGGACTGTTGTGGAGGGCTGAATCAATATGCTGAAATTAATACAGCTCAATATTAGCCTCACATATTACTCACATGCCTATTACTGCTCACAATTTAACAGTTACATTTAACGGTCATTGTGTGTGATTGCTGGGCAGAATACTTCTGCTCCAGTTATAGTGAATTCCCCAATGTACCTACACGTGTGACTAAAGACACTAGAGTAGTGAGACTGGAACATTACAGTACAGTATTGCAGTATGAGACCAGCACAGCCAGCAAGTGACATTCTACTACAGTAATAACTACACAGCCAACATTTTCCTTGACCCCCCTCTGTTGCCACTTATTTTAACAGCTATTACATCTAATACCCCCTCTGTATGCAGGACAGTCACTGGCAGATACACACCACTGTGCCACTAACTATCTGCAATATGCTCCAAACTCCCGCCAAAGCTCCTCCAGTGCAGGACGCCACCCACGAGGAGGAGGACCCTTGATATCATTGGTAGCTAGGACCGCCCAATGGACATACTGTATACGTATATTAGGGTTGCACCTATACATTTTTTCCAGACCAAGTGCCGATACTTGTCCAAGTACTCACAGATACAAGTGCTGAAACATTTTTGTTTGGAGTGATGTGACAGTTTTTCTAAAACAATACAGACTAATAATTTCAGGACAGTGGTGGAGTGCCAGGGCCCTGCCACAGCTGCAACCCTGGTAGATCTCATGAAAATGGTATCAGAACTGGTATCTGAACATCCCTAACTATGGATATGCTATAGAGGGCTGTCTGAAAATGCAGACATGATATAAAGCACTATTAGGCCTCATTCACACAGCCAACTGTCGGCCCGTACAGATCAGTGCGGCGTGCATCCTGTCTGCGTACGAGTACGGACACCCGCAAGGATGTGCAGCTCGGGTGAGCATATGGCCGAGTACTCCCATAGAGAAGAACAGGCTGCTTCGTACAATCACACGGAGCACCTGTCCTTCCTGGGAACGGTTCGACATGGTCGTGCACGCCGCACGGATCTGTACAGGCCTACAATTAGCTGTGTGAATGAGGCCTAAGAGATGGTCAAAATGCTACAGGGGACATTCAGAAACTACAAATGGTTGGAAACTGCAGACATTCTACAGGAGATTGCAAGAGACTGCAGATATGCTACAGTAGACTGCTACAGATTGCAATATGGATGGACTCTTCCCTCTCCCATGGCCTCTAATGGACCCCTGCATGCCCCATATGTTGCAAGTCATACCCAGATCCATTGTATGGCTTTTATTTATTTGAGTAAAGCTTCCATTCTGAAAATAGTTCTTGTAAAATATGAGTTTCTAAGTGATTTCTAATTAAAAATAAATTAACTTATGCAAAAAAATTATGCATGGTCTTTGTGTTCTGTTGGATATTTTTACAAACAGGTTTATTAAATAAAATTGAAATGTCTCTGTTGCCCCCAGGAAGTGCTCAAATTCTATAGTACTGGTTTGCACTAAATCAAATCGGATTAGTTGTTGAACTATTTTATTCTTCCAGTTCTCATAAATGGAACTTGTTATGCATTTGGGTTATTTCACAGGCCAAATACATAGCGTCAGAAGGAAGAATGGCTCTTGTTGCCCACACTAATCAACAGAAATCACCTTTCATGTTTCCAGTACATAAGTGAATGTAATGATAAGCCTGACTGGTTGCTAAACACAGAAAGCTCTTCTTTTTTAGAAATAGCTATGCCTGTGGCCCAATGTTACGAAACACTGAATATCCCAATTAGCTGCAGGGGTCTATTTTCCAATATAGACTATACCTATACCTGCCAACTTACAATTTATCATTTAAAAAAAGAAGCATCAACCAAAACACCCCACAAAATATAATAGACAAAAAGGTACCTTTAAGTCTTGCTCTAGACTTCTGATGAGCTCCCCATCCACTTGGCCGGTCTGTGCAACTTTTAAGCTTTTTTGCTCTGCTTTCCTGAGGCGGTACTGCAATATACGGCAGTTCTTATTGGCTCGGTCAAGCTCCCGTCGGAGCTCCTGCAACTGGTAAACATCTTCCTCCAGATAGCTGTCACGCATCTCCTCCATTTCTGCGCGCAGCTCATCAAGCTCATCCTATTGAAAAACACATGAAAGTTACTACAAAGCTAAGGTGTCATATATTTTTAACTGCAGTCAGAATACTTCTATTTTCTTGAATCCTCAGGTTAAGACAATAGAAGGAAGAACCACTAGGGTTCTTCCTTCCATCTTCTGCCATGGCCACAGCTAAACATCTGCGGGAGAGTGAAACAAAAGTATGGAGCATGAGATCACACTGTGGTAAACTGATCTCATAGCTCAGCTAGTCATGTATCAGTATTATCCCATTTTACACGAGCCTGAACCATGCTGTGGTACTATTGTCTAAACAATGGTTTGATAATAGTGGGCAAATGGCTTATTACCAGTATCTGATAGATGGCATGTTGTGAGCTACAACAGTGTTTGCTCCTCAATGATTATTTAACAGAGGATCAGTGTTATTAATTATCAAATAAGTGAAAAGAACAAGGGGAATCTTGGAAACAGGTGTCTTACTTTTGCCACCTCCTGTGGGACATTTAGATGCACGAAACCTGAACACTGATCTGAGAACCTTGAAGAAACAAGAATAGCAGGAAACCTAAAAAAACAAGCCGGTATTGCTTTTGTGTATAGTGTTTAAATACACCATATGTTAAAAAGGTGGAAACTGGGGAAGATAGGCACTGTCTTTGAGTTTTGAAATATCAAATAAGCCTTCCCAGGTATACCACCTAAAGATATAGAATTACTATGGTAGCTACAAAGAGAATAAATGAAAGGAGTCACAATGTTTACAATGAGCATTTCAGCAGGGTTGAGGTCAGAGCTCTGTCCAAATCACTCAAGTTCCTACATACCAAACTATTAAACCATGTCTTTATGGACCTGGCTTTGTGCACATAAACGTTTTAATTTGAAGGGGTAGCCACATACTTTTGCCCATATAGTGTACATCAAAATAAAGAGCAGCTGCTTGAACATCAAGTTCATCTAACTCAATTCTGATGTTAATTGCTAGCGAAACTGTTGGGTTGCTCTACCACAGTGCACCATATTTGTTTGGGTTGCCTACCGCAGATGAATTGCAGTGAAAGAAGTGCAGGCACCTTTTGTTTAAATTGTATCGCACCACATCACATGGTAATAGGTTACAAAGCACATGCAATGGCTAAGTGTGTTGAGGTGCCATTGAGAAATAATGGCACAGCAGTAAACTTAACATTACAACATGGGATGTGGGATTGCATGCGGCATTGCATGTATTTCTGCAATGCAAAGATGTGAATGTAGCCGTAGGGCTTGTTTGCGACAATTTCCTGAAAATACCATCTATCCCTAAAAATAGTCCGAAATATTAAGTATACACAATGATTTATTTGCTAAGGCACAGTGCATTGCCAGTGTACAAAGTGGATTTGCCCACAGCGACCAATGAGATTACATCTTTTTGCAGCTAGCACAATGAAAAGTGTGCTACTACACATTCTACGTTGCTCCTTGCCTTATTAAAAAAAAGCCCATCTTGCCTTTTCACTGGGGTGGAAATGTTTTAAATATTTCTGTAGGTACAAAAATAAACACAATGTGCAATGGCACGAATAACCCTGTTACCTTGTTGAATTCCAAGGCCACAATTATAAAACGGGAGACAAGACAATTGCATAATAATGTAATTTACAATTATGTGGATGGCAACAAAACGTGAATATAATGTTTCAAATGGTTCTCCTAAGATAGAATCTCTCAACTGAGAGATATACTCCTTCCATTACCAGCCTACTGCCCCTGGGATACGAACACACTATTATTAGGTTTGCACTCAATTTAAGGCAGGAAGGAGGTACAGTATGCCAGAGCAAATGCATGGAGGAGGAAAACTTTCCAATACAGCAGTTCTCACAATTAACATAGATACAGTATCCCACTAACCGAACCAAACAGAAAACAGACCATTAATAAACGCTGGGTGCTTGAGCAGACGCATTGGGATGATACCTTGGTTGTGTTGCCATGATTAAGTATGAATCACGCAAAGTACAAAAGCAGAAAAGAGTATCAAAACATTTTCATATATATTTTATTGCCTCCCTACAAAGACATCTCTATCGACCAGGAATTGTACATGGCACGAATGCCTGAGGATCGGGAAAGATGATTGTTCAGGAACAAGAGAGCTTGTATACCAGGACAGGCATGTCGCCCGATCTGTAGCTAATCAAACCATGTATGATGATTACATGCGGATAGCCATGGAGAGATGTGGCCGCTGTCACCCTGTCATTAATATGAATGGTCTTTATGCAACTACTGTATGTATGTCTAGGCATGTGTAGGCTCACTTTATACCTGCAGCATTGTTTTCCTGACAGAATCTTAAAAAGAAATAAAAGAACAGGCATCGATTTGCATAATTGAGAATATATTAAGGATTTTTCTAAAGGCTGTTAGGAAAACTGGAAAAGGTTGTCTGGTTTGCACCTAATAACCAAATAAATGGCAAATTCTAGCCTGCACTATAGTAAAGCAGCAGCTGGAACTTGAAGAGTTGCTATACGCAACTCCAACAATTTCCTTTCCCTTTTATTTTCCTAATAAATTATTAACTGCAGGCAAAGCAAAGCCATAACGATGTTAACAGACATCTCACCACGAGTGTAAAACAAGTGTCAGGAGATTAGGGGTCAGGTACAGGTGGAAGACAGATGGTGGCTCACAGATGGGCTCTTAGGAAAGGAAATGGACCTTACGAATCTGTCTGTAATAGGATGCAAAGGGCTGGCAGTTTAGATTATGTCCATAGCAGAGCTAATATGACTTCTTGAATGTTGCACAGAAATGTGTCTAAAGTGGCTTGTATTAGAGGAAATGACCTGATCACACTAAAGACAAATGAAAATCCAAAATTTCCTTTCAGCACACAAAAGCTACAGTAATCTTCAAAGTTTTTTTTCAATTACTTTTTTTATGTTATGTTATATGCTATCCACCTCTTCACCAGCCAAGCAATCTTATGAGGTAATTTTGTTTGTTACTGATTTTGCAGTGAGTGATGTTCTTGTATGGTTCATCTAACAAAGACTATTAAGTCCTGTGAAGGATCTTTTGCTTTGTGTATAATACTAAGACATTTTGGCAAACTAGGATAATAACAGGAACACCCCTAAAAGTGAGCCCATGCTTTGCCCATTCAGGGTAAAGCACAGGTTCACTTTAACTCCCCCTCCCCACATCATATATTTACCTTTCCTATGCTCCCCGCTGCTCCCTTCAGCCATGAAGAAGCAAGGAAGGGGAGCCCTGTGTAAGTGTCACATCACTCTAGTAAGAGCTTACACAAGTTTGGGGACTTTCTCCTTACCCACACGTGAAAGCACTGGGCCTATCACCAAGTGACTTCACTGTCACATGAGCTGCATGCTCCTCTATACCCAGACATACTGGCTAATATTTGTACTCCCAGCAGCCCATAGAATCAGGGGGAATGAAGGAAAGGGAGGTAAAAACTGGTTGGAAGGGAAACTTTAAAACAAACCTTTGTATATCAAAGTGTCCACAAATTACTATGATCTACCGGTATGTGTGAAAAGCTCATACGAGAATATATATATATATATATTTTAATGTCACTTTAATAAATAACCAAGAGGAAATCATTCTGAAAGTTAATTTAAATGAAACTGTCCAAAAGATTTCAATGCTTTCCCGTGCTCCACCTTCATGCGATGAAACAAATCTTTAAACACCCACCAGATTCCCCTGATGAGAAAGCATGCAAGGAACTCTTTCTTTTGCGCCTTCATTTGCATGGCATCTCCACTGCACACATGCCGGCGATCTCTCATGATAAAATGTGTATCAGCCACATCAATGTATCCATGAACATCAGATGTCAGCGTTATTCCTCCCCTTGAAAAAGGCTCCAATCACCTGTAGCATCGCTAGCAATACTTAGCAGTACCAGGGAAACAACTCCAAAAAGGATCCAAGGTAGAATATCTCTCCCGACTAGTTTCGTCAATCCAGACTTTTTCAAGGGTCCCTTGAAAAAGTTTGGATTGACGAAACTAGTCGGGAGAGAGTGTGCACGGTGCTATACCTATCGGCTGTTTTAGATCGATCAATTGATAGTGGATTCAGAAAGGGTTTTTGGATCGATCTGTATCTAACGTGTTGTTTTCATCTTTTTGTAAGTTCCTTTTTATTTTGCGCTAATTAAATGCTTTAAAGATTTTATGCTATGTGCCTTTTGTTTTTTAATTTGGGGATATTCTACCTTGGATCCTTTTTGGAGTTGTTTCCCTGATACTGCTAAGTATAGCTAGCGATGCTACAGGTGAGTGGAGCCTTTTTCAAAGGGGAGGACTAACGCTGACATCTGATGTCCATGGATGCATTGAAAAATGTTACTAATATGCTCACCAGTCAGCATGACCAGACTATAGCCTTGCAATTTATGTTACCATTTTTTGGGGACAGATAGAGCTTTCTTTTGGTGGCATATAAAATCACCACTGGGGGGGGGAGGGACTGGGTTATTTTTTACTATATAATGAAAAAAGTACAGTCAATTAAAAAAAAAAAGGTTTCCCTACGTTATGTTATAAAACATTTATTCTTACGCATTTTTTTTGTAAAACATAAAAGATGGGGTCACGTCGGGTAAATAGACACCATACATGTCAAGCCTTAAAATTGCGTGCGCCCGCAAAATAGCAAGAAACGAAAATTGGCCATAGGCGACGCTTAAAATACTTTTACCGATCATCAGTTTAGTGTTATCAGTAATTAATGGCCCTAAAATTATTGCTCACACTCCGACGTTCGCGGTTATATGTAACATGTGCGGCACAATAGGTGCAATCGTTGTTTTCGCATGTAGGCGCACCCGACGCATATCTGCATGTGTATAAAGTGCTTCTTTATTTTTTTTATGACCTCTAATGTCACCTAGGGACCCCCAGAGAAGCTGATGAAGCAGAGATCTGCTTCATCAGCTTTCGTAGCTGGAAAGTGACACTGAATGCAGGAAGTGATGTAATATACATCAC